CGGACAGAGAGAGAAACAGAGGAAAGAGACAGATTCTTTTACTTTCTCTCTGTCTCTCCTGCTGTTTGCTGTTTGTGTCTCTCTGTGTCTCTTTGTGTCTCCTTTCTCTGTCTTTTTCTAATGTCTGTCTGTCTCCTTCTTTCTTTGTTGTTGTTTGTTTGCATGCGGCTGCCTTTGATTCTCTTCTTGTCTCTGACTTCTGTTTGTCTTTGTTTGCTCTCTTCTCTCTTTTGGCTGTCTCTCTGTCTCCATGCCTTTTGCTGTCTCCTTCTTCTTGTCTCTTCTGTCTTCTTTATATCTGTCTCCTTCTCTCTGTTTTGTTTGTTTTGTTTGTTTTGTTTGTTTTGCTGTTGTGTGGATATTTGCTGCTACCATCTGCTGCACTGTCTCCTTCTTCTTGTGTGTCTCTCTATCTTTCTTTTTCTGTCTCTGTCTCTTTTGTCTCTGTCTGTCTCTCTGTCTGTCTCTGTCTCTCTCTCTCTCTCTCTCTCTCTCTCTCTGTCTCTATCTCTGTCTCTCTCTCTCTCTCTCTATCTCTCTTTGTCTGTCTCTGTCTCTCTGTCTCTCTGTCTCTCTGTCTCTCTCTTATGTCTCTCTTTTGTCTGTCTGTCTCCGTCTCCGCTTCGTTTGTTGTCTCCTCTCTTCTCTCTCGGGTCTCCTTTCCCTCTTTCAGCTTAGGGTTTAGGGTTTAGGGTTTAGGGTTTAGGGTTTAGGGTTTAGGGTTTAGGGTTTAGGGTTTAGTGTTGTCTACAGGTTTATTTTTTACTATTTTCTTGGAGAGCAGCCGTCGCTTCTTAGGGGGCCCCTGGGCTGATCGATGGGGGCCCCCTGGGGGCCCCCTATCACTGCGGGTTCGGGGCCTCTGGGCAGGTGCAGCAGCACAAGCAAATCCAAAGTTTGCTGCTGCTGCTGCTGCCGGTGGTGGTGGTGCGGCTGCTGCTGCAGCAGCACCAGCAGCAGCACGAGGGGCCCCTCAGACAGGTGTACGTACACCCCGGCAGCAGCAGCAACTGGCTACACAAGGTAAGGGGCCCCCCATCATAGGGGCCCCCTGACTTTTCTCGAGGGGCCCCCCAATCTCTCTTCAATCTCTTTCTAGTCACACATATATTTCTCGCTTTCCCCCTGTCCCTCTTCACCTGATATTAATATATATCTATATATATATATACATGTTTGTATATATATGTATATATATATATATATATATATATTTGCCTCTGTCTCCTCAGGGGGAGACAGTGAACCTGCTCAGTCAATAGCGACACAAGGGGCCCCATTAGGTGCAGCGTTGGTGGCAGTGGGGGGTGGGGGCCCCCTTGGGGGCCCCCTTGGGGGGCCCCTAGGGGGGCCTCTTGGGGGGCCCCCTGCGGGAGAAGTGAAGAGCTCGCTGGTGGAGCCCTTCCTGCAGTGCTTAGGGTTTGCAGTCAGAGCTGCTGGTGCTGCAGCACGTCCTTCTGTTGGTTTTATTAAAGAAAAAGTTCTTCAAGAGGCTGACCTCGTCTTCAGAGGAAAGGCTAGGTGCTGCTGCTGATGCTGATGCTGCTGCTGCTGCAGATGCTGCTGCTGATGCTGCATATGATGCTGCTGCTGATGCTGCATATGATGCTGCTGCTGCTAGTGATGATGATGATGCTGCTGCTGCTGCTGATGATGATGATGCTGTTGCTAGTAATGATAATGCTGCTGCTGCTGCTGCTGCTGCTGCTGCTGCTGCTGCTGCTAGTGATGATATTTTTGATGGGGTTGCTGGGGTTGGTGGTTTGGGGGGTTAATTTGATATCTTCATCTCAGCATCTGCATATGAGGGTTTAGGGTTTAGGGTTTAGGGTTTAGGGTTTGTGTACAGATTCGAAGATGGTGATATCGTCTTCTGTCGCTGTTCAAACCCTGGGGGGCCCCCTGGGGGCCCCTCTGTTGCAGAAGAATATCTCCTTGGAGCGGCGCTGCACCCGGAGCGGCAGCTGATGAGGCATGGGTTTAAGGTTTGTGTTGGGTTAATTAATTAATTAATTTGTTTATTTATTTATTTATTTATTTATTTATTTATTTATTTGTTTATTCTATCATCTCTGTCTGCTCCCTTCATTCTTTGAATTTTTTGTTTGTCTTTTATTCATTTTACATCTTTATATATTTATATTTATATATTTATATACTTTTATATTTATATATTTATATTTATATATTTATATATAAATATACTTTTATATTTATATATTTACATCTTTATATATTTATATATTTATATATTTATATATTTATATATTTTTATATATGTATATATTTTTATATATTTATATATTTTTATATATTTATATTTATATATTTATATATCTATATATTTATATATTTATATATTTATATATTTATATTTATATATTTATATATTTATATTTATGTATATATCTGCGTGTTTATTTCTTATTTATTTGTTGTTCTGTTTATCTATTCATTATATCTATACATGTATGTATATATATATATATATATTATTTATAAATGTATATATATATATATAGGGGCCCCCCTCTCTCTGTTGACTGTTTGCTGCAGCACGCCTTCCAATTCCGGCTGCAGCCACCGCTAGGGGGCCCCTCGGGTGTACCCTCAGGGGCCCCCCAGGGGACCCCCGAAGGCGTTGGGGCTTGCCTTGTTCTTGTGCTGCAGAGCAGCAAACCCCCTATCTCTTTTAGAGACAGCCACCCTCTCGCTAGCAGCAACTCATGTCAAGCTCCTGGGGGCCCCTGTGATTTATTTTGGCCTTCCCTTGGTAAACCCTAAACCCTAAACCCTAAACCCTAAACCCTAAACCCTAAAACGCAACAGCCCATGTATACTCTTGATGCCGCCGCGAAAAGTTGACGTTTGTTGAGGTTCAGCTGTAGTGTTTAGGGTTTAGGGTTTAGGGTTTACGGTCGGGGCGTGGGGTTTAGGGTTGGGGTTCAGGACTAGGGTTTAGGGTTTAGGGTTTAGGGTTTAGGGTTCGGTGTGCAGGGGATTGCATGGCCTTGGAATTTCGCCTTGGGGTAACTCAAAACCCTCAGCAGGGACCGGGGCCCGTTCTTACCCTCGAAGCAGATCTGCTGCTAGGTGCTGCTTGCTGCTGCTGCTGCTGCTGCTGTTGCTGTAGCTGATGCTGCCGTTGCTGCTTGCGCTGCTGCTGCTGCTGCCTTTGTCCAATGATGATGCAGCCGTCAGGCGACAGCATACAGCTGTCGTTGCTGCTGCTGTGATTGCTGCAGTTGCTGCTGCTGCACGTGCTGCTGCTGCAGTTGCTGCTGCTGCAGTTGTCTTGTGGTGTCTGTACAGGTGCGGGCGCCCTTGCCTCTCAGTTTGAACGCGACGTGCTGCATGATGAGGCCTCGCATGCAGCTGCTGCTTCTTTTGTCTTCCTTCAGCAGCAGCATCAGCAGCAGCAGCAACAGCAGCAGCATCTGCTGCGGCTTCCTGCTCACCCTTGGGCCCTCCCTGGGGGGCCTCCACATCGAGCAGCAGCAAGGGATGGGGGGCCCCTCTCTGCTGCAGCAGCAGCAGCTTCTGCTTCTTGCAGCAGCAGCACCCCACAGGTTCTTCTCCTACGAAGAGGCTGCATGCATTGGCCTCTCCCTTTAAACGCTCGCCTCGATACTGAGGAGGTCTTTGTTGAGTATGCTGCTGCTGTTGCTGCTGCTGCTGCTGCTGCTGCTGCTGCCTTGCTGCTGCTGTTGCAGGTGCTCCTGCTCGTGCAGCTGCTGCTCTTCCTACGGCCCTTGCGCTGCTTCCTTTGCTGCCGCTCTGCAAATGCTGCTGCAGCTGCATTTGCAGTTGCTGCTGCTCTTTTTGCTGCTGCGTTTCGTGCTGCGGCTTCTCTTGCTGCAGCTGCTTCTGCCTTGTAGTGGTGCTGCTGCTGTTTCTGTGACGACGTAGCTGCTTCTGCTGCTCTTACTGCTGCTATTTATTTTCTTGTGTCTCTTTCGTTTGTGTGGGTTTGCTGCAGGGTTGATTACTCCTTAGAAAGGGAGCGTCTGCGGGTTACAGCAGCAAGGGGAACACCGCAGCAGCAGCAGCAGCAGCAGCAGCAGCAGAAGCTCCTGGGGTCCCTTCGCGCTGCCGGAGGGCCCGCGCCGCTGCTGGAGATGCTGGGCTTTGAAGTGAGGCACACAACGCCTTGCTGCTGCTGCTGCTGCTGCTGCTGCTGCTGGTTTGGGTGCCTTTGCCGCTGTTGCTGCTTTTTTTGCTGCTGCTGCTACTGCTGCCGCTGCTGCCTCTGATGCTGTTTCTGCTGTTGCTGCTGCTGCTGTTGCTGCTGTTCTTCTCGTTAGCCTCCCTTCAAATCCTCAGACGTCCCTTACTATTGCCCAGCGTAAACCCTAAACCCTAAACCCTTACAAATTCAGCAGCTGCAGCAGCAAGTGCAGCAGCAGCAGCAACAGCAGCGGCAGCAGCAGAGAGTGTGAGTGGTGTTTATCTGTTTGCAGCTCAGCAGCCTCATATCCCTTAGGCTAGGAGCAGCATACGTCGGGTACGGACCTTCCGCTGCTGTTGCTGCTGCTGTCGCTGCGGCTTCTGCTGCTGCAGCTGCTGTTGTGGCTGAAGTTGCTGCTGTTGCTGTAGCTGCTATTGCTAATGCTCCTGCAGCTGCTGTTGCTGATGCAGCTGATGCTGCTGCTGCTATTGCTGCTTCTGCTGCTGCAGCTCTAATTGTTGCTGCTGCTTCTGTCTTAATGAGGGTTTGATGTGTTTGTATTTCTGCTGCTGCATCAAATACTGTATGAGTTTTGTCTTTGCTGCTAGTTGCTGCTCTTCTTATTTCTTTTGTTTAATTTATTTACTCTTTAAATTTGTTTATTTTATTAATTTGTTTGTTTGTCTGTCTCCTGCCTCACCTTTAGGCTCTTCTCGCTGCCCCTGAGGCATCAACACCGTCAGCTGCAAAGAGGAGAAGCCTCTACCCTAGGTGCAGCAACAGCTGCTGCTGCTGCTGCTGCTGCTGCCGCTGCAGCTGCTGCTGCTGCCAGTCTGTTTTCTATTGTAGTCGGCGCCTGCAATGCCGTTGCTGCTGGTGTTGCTGCTGCTGGTGTTGCTGGTGCTAGTATTGTTGCTGGTGCTGTTAGTGTTGTTGCTGCTGCTGCTTCTGCTGCTGCTGCAGGGCCCTATATGCTGTCTTCCCCTCCGACATTTGAGGCCAGTGACTGGTGAGGCTCAAAGCAAACCGTCTCTCCTGTTGCTGCTGCTGTTGCTGCTGCTGTTGCTGCTGCTTTTGCTGCTGCTTTTGCTGCTGCTGTTGCTGCTGCTGTTTCTGGTCCTGTTGCTGCTTCTGTTGCTGCTGCTGTTGCTGTTGCTGCTGCTGTTGCATGCGCTTCCGCTGCCGGAGGTGGCGTTTGCGGTGGTATTGGTGCTGCTGCTGCTGCTATGGTTGGTGCTGCTGCTGCTGCTGCTGTTGCTGATGCTGTTTGTCCTCAGGTGTATTCGCGTCAGCGTATGGCAGCACGAAGCGCAGCCGCCTCCGCTGCAGCTGCGAGGACTGCAGCAGCAGCAGCAGCAGCAGCACTTGTCTTTAGAGGGGAAGCCTGTAGAGGCTTTCATGCCCAGGCTGCAGCTCGAGCTCCAGAACAGCAGCTGGCCTCTTCCTTTGCTGCTGAGTGATGCTGAGATTGATACATATAATGCTCTCTTCTCTTTGCTGCTGCAGCTCAGGTAAACCAAACCCTAAACCCTAAACCCTTGCACGCAGCAGAACTGCAGCAGCAAATGGAGAGAGAGGGAGAGGTCCGCGACGCATATAGGTGCTGCTGTTCTTGTCGCTGCTGTTCTTATTGCTTCTGTTGCTGTTGCTGCTGCTGCTGCTGCTGTTGCTGCTGCTGCAGGGCCCTTGAGGTCGATTTGCAGCAGCTGTGGCGGCGGGGGTGTTTTCTAAGGAAGTAGGTTTTATGTTTAATGCTGAGTACAATTGTTTTATTTTCTTTCTTATTTTCTTTTTATATCTTCTGTTTTTGTTGTCTCTTCTTTTCTCTTTCTTACTCGGGTGTCTCTGCTTCTTGCTGCTGGTCTCTGTCTCTTCTCTGTCGGCCGTCTCGCTCTGTGTCTCTCTTTGTCTCCTTTCTTATGCTTGTCTTTGTATTTATTTTGTTTATCCCCTTCTCTTTCTTCTGTCTCCTTTGTCTGTCTCTTCTCTTTCTTCTGTCTCCCTTTCGCTTCCACTTTTAATTCTGTCTCCTTTTCTTTCATTTTATTTTGTCTCCTTTCTCCTTATTTTATTTTGTCTCCTTTTCTTTTTTTTATTCTGTCTCCTTTTTCTTCTTTTTCTTCTGTCTCCTTTTTAATTCTGTCTCCTTTCTCTTCTTTTCTCTTTCGTCTGTCTCCTTTTTAATTTTGTCTCCTTTTTCTTCTTTTTATTTTGTCTCCTTTTTCTTCTTTTTGTTTTTTTCTTTTTTATTCTGTCTCCTTTCTCTTCATTTTATTTGTCTCCTTTTTCTTTTTTATTCTGTCTCCTTTCGTTGTTTGATTTTTATTCTGTCTCCTCTTCATTTCTTTTGGCTTTATTTTCTTTTGTTGTTTTGTTTGTAGGTCCTACGCCCGGAGGTCTTCTTCTGCTTTTCATTTTTCTTCAAGTTCTTCAGGTGTATCTGCATCTCCGGTGTCTCCTCACGCGGTGTCTGCGCACCTCTGGGCTGCGCGAGCGGAGCTATCTTTTTATGTCTCCTCCATTTCTAAATATTTTCACTACTACGCTATTGCGGTCAGTATACAGACACACAAATAAGGGGGGCCCCTACAGACCCTAAAGGGGCTCTTTGGAGGCCTTATAAGGGTCCCTTTAGGGGCCCCCAAAGGGCCCTCAATGACCCTTGAAGGGGCTTCCAAAGGGCCCCCAAAGGGCCCCCAAAGGGCCCCCAAAGAGCCTTTTAGGGGCCCCCAAAGGGCCCCCAAAGAACCCTAATAGGGCCCCCAAAGAACCCTAATAGGGCCCCCAATGAACCCTAAAGGGGCCCCTAAGGGGCCCCCAAAGAACCCTAAAGGGGTTCCCTAAAGAACTGTAATAGGGCCCACGTGTGCATTGGGGCCCTTAGGCGATCCTGGGAGTCTTGAAAGGGTGGGGCCCTTAACGGTCCTTTGGGGCCCTTTAAGGGTATTCAAAGGGCCCCCACAGGGCCCTAAGAGAGTCCTGGGGGCCCCATAAGGGTCACTAGGGGCCCCTAAAGGGCCCTAAAAGGCTCTGGGGGCCCCATAAGGGTCATTAGGGGCCCATAAGGGGCCCCCAAAGGGCCACAAGATTCTATCAAGGGTCCTAGGGGCCCCGACAGGGCCTGCACTGGCCTTAAAGGGGTTCAGGGGGGCCCCAGGGTTCTCGGGGGCCCCTTCGTTGAGGGTCTCTGCAGATTCGTCTGCGGCATTCTGAGAAGTCTTCAAGTGCAGCGAGAAAGATGATTAGGGTTTAGGGTTTAGGGTTTGGTGGTTTGCGCGCAGCCTGTCTTCGCTGAAGTAGAAGAGGCGGCGAAGGCGCGGAGGGACTTCGAAGAGATCCGCCTTATCCACAGCAACTGCCTAACCCAGCTTGCCTCGTAAACCCTAAACCCTAAACCCTAAACCCTAAACCTGGTATTCTCCACTAGACGTCCCTGGGGACAGCTTTGGGAGGGTGAGGTGAAGGATGAGGCCTCCGTTTTTAAGGGCTGCATGGAGGTTTAGGGTTTAGGGTTTAGGGTTTAGGGTTTATTAGCGTCGATTGGGATAGCCCGCGTTTGCTGTTGCGGGGGGACGGAGGGTTTAGGGTTTAGGGTTTAGGGTTTGTTGCTTCCTCAGGAGGTGCTGGCTGCGAGTGTCCTCGCTGCTGCGCCCCCTGATGAGACTTATAGCAGCAGGAAGACGCATCATAGAGTTGGGGGCCCTCGCAACGAGAATAGGGGGCCCCCTGGGGGCCCCTGGGTCTGAAGTAGCAGAAGAGGCCCCAAGAAGAGGACAGCATAACCAGGCGGCAACAGAAGTAGGCCTAGGGTTTAGGATTTAGGGTTTAGGGTTTAGCTGTTTAGGGTTTTCTACGGGCGCAAGGGATGGCTAATCTGCTGGCATTCCCTACAGTGTAGGACCAAATGAACAAGGGTTTAGGGTTTAGGGTTTAGGGTTTAGGGTTTAGGGTTTGATGCAGGTGGTGCTTTTGGGGTCTCTTGGGGAAGCTCAGTACTCCTTCCTGGCAGAAGCCCTGGCCACTACCAGGTTAGGGGGGCCCTACCTGCTGCTGCTGCAGCAGCAGCAGCAGCAGCAGAAACAGCAGCAGCAACAGCACAGCGGCAAGAGCACAGCAGCAACAGTACAGCAGCGGCTGCTGCCCCTCTTGCTCTGCTGCTGCTGGTGTTGTTGCTGCGTTTGCTGAACGTATATTTGGGGTGTACGTACACTGCATAGGCTCAAGTGTCTCATGGTTTCTGTTGCTGCTGCTGTTGCGCGCTCATTATTGCTGCTTTTGCTGCTGTTGCTGCTGCTTCTGCTGCCTTCAGGAAAGAAATAAGAGAGCAGATATCTCAGGTGTACACGGAGATGTGCGCTCTAAAGCAAGGGGCCCCCCATGCCCTTTTGGGGGCCCTGGCGTTGCCTTTAGACTTCAACGGCTTCCTCTCTCACCTCGTTACTGGGGGCCCCTATACCCCTAGGGGGGCCCCCTACGGGGTCCCCCTGACCCCCAGGGGCCCCCCTACCCCTAGGGGCCCCAACAGGGGCCCCGCTGACGGAGTGCAGCAGCAGCAGAGTCAAGAGCCCTCGATGACTGCTGAGGCTGCAGGGGCCCCCACAGCAGCAGCAGCAGCAGTATTGGGGCCCCCCCGCAGCCTCACGCCACAGCAGAGGGAGTGTACGCGATTGAGAGGGGCTCCCCTGAGGCCCCCTGCATCTGTAGAGGAGTTACAAGACCAGGTAGGGGGCCCCGGGGGATACCCCGGGGGGCCCCCCGACGACGAGGGTTTAATGTTACACAGTTGCAGATCTACAGATAGCGAAGATGAGGGGCCCCCTTCTTGGTCTTATCTGTCAAGGGGGGCCCCCTCCTACCCCTCCCCTTCATTCACCAGGGAGACTCAGGGGCCCCCAGGGGCCCCCCTACCCCTGAGGAGACCCTCGCCTCCTGCAAGGGGGCCCCTCTGGTTTGACTCATCTGCACGTCTGGCCCAGGGGCCCCTCTTGGGGGCCCCCACAGGTGAGGGGGCCCCCATGGGGGCCCCCCGAGGGGCCTCCATGCAGTACCCTTTGGATTACAGGGTATTAGCAGAAGAGGCGCGTGAAGCATTAGAGACAGCAAGAAAGAAGAAAGAAGAGAGACAGGGAGTAGGGGCAAGCGAGTTGTTTGGGGATCCTAGGGGGGCCCCCTGAGCTGTCTTTTGAGGTCTTGTTGGGGGCCCCCTGAGTTGTCTTTGAGGTCTTGTCGGGGGCCCCCTTGGGTTTATGTTGTGTTAATGAAGGGGAAGACAAAGAAATTAAAGACAAAGAGGGGTTTGGCGTTGTGGGGTCTCCGTTTGCTTGTTAGATATAGAGAGGGAGACAGCTGTCTCCTTCTAAGAGAGACAGCTGTCTCCTTTCGCCTACTGTCTCCTTAGATGGGAGGTAGCTGCTCCTCTAGACAGCTATCTCCCTTAGAAAGAGACAAGTCTTTCTTTTAAACAGATATAAAGAGTTTTATTAAAGAAAGGAGACAGCTGCATAATTAGAAGAGACCCCGCTGTCCCTCTACAAACCAACTGTCTCCTCTAGGGAGACAGAGACAGAGAGAGAGAGAGAGACAGAGACAGAGACGGAGACAGAGACGGAGACAGAGACAGAGACAGAGACAGACAGAGCCGTCTATATAAACGAAGAGACAGCTGTCTGCTTTAGAGAGGGAGAGGTTTGTCTCTTTTAGATAGAGAGGGAAGATGTCTCCTTTAGAGAGAGAAGGAGCCCCCTTAGATAGAGATAGAGAGACAGCTGTCTAGGTGAAGAAGAAACAGCTGTCTCCTTTAAACAAAGAGACAGAGCTGTCTCCTTTAAACAAAGAGACAGAGCTGTCTCCTTTAAACAAACAGACAGAGCTGTCTCCTTTTAACAGAGAGGGAGACAGACAGAGAAAGCTGTCTCCTATTGCGGTGATGAACACAGAGAAGAACAAGGAGGAGAGCCTCTGTCTCTCTGTCTCTGTCTCTTTCTGTCTGTCTCCTACCTGTCTCTCTGTCTCTGTCTATCTGTCTCTTACTCTCTGTCTCTGTCTCTTTCTGTCTGTCTCCTACCTGTCTCTCTGTCTCTGTCTATCTG